ATAAAGAGGTTCTATGTGAACGCAAATCTAATGTACAAGAATTAATAAAGAATAAACTTGCTTTGCCAGGTCTGTCTCTTTAATAGAAGAATAGCAATACAGGTGAGCATAGTTCTGGGCTGGGGATAGGAGACTTGGCAACTATTCTAACTTTCATCACTGCCTCATGAGCCTCAGGCAAGAGGGTTCACTTCTGTGACTCAGTTTCCCAAGCCATGAAAAGAAAATCCTGTCTCCTTTCTGCCTACTAAGGAGGATCATGGGGGGCCAGGCTGGGCGGGGGTGGGGAGCCTGTAACGTGCTCCAGCTTAGTTAAAAGAAATATGAAATGGCCCTGCGTTATTTTACTCTCTGGAAACCAGTTTAAAGTTCTGTTCCTGTCTCACTTTCTATATCAGGATTCTTCAACCATTCAGCAGAGTGGAAGACAAAAGCTGCCCAGTTAGTAATCATTATCTCCTTTTTTACAGATGGAGAAATTTAAGGCAGAAGAGGGTTACATGTTGAAGTCAGCAAAGTAATTCACCAAGAGAATTCCAAAAAGATTCTGAGTCCGGAACAAAATGATTTTGTGGAACCATCTGTTATCCAGCTGCAGAGGTGGTTTGCTAAGGTGCAGTATTGTTGAAACCATTGTTACTGTAGCAGAAGTCGATCAGGCAATCAGGATTCAGGTAAGACCTGGATTAAGCATTCCAGTGAAGAGATGCTTTTTCATTCTAAAGGTGAGCAGATTTTATGACCTATCTACAACTTTGGCATTTGCAAACTCAGATTAAAAGAGCATGGAGAGGGCTTCCCTGGTGGCGCAGTGGTTGAGAGTTCGCCTGCCGATGCAGGGGACACGGGTTCAGGCACCGGTCTGGGAGGATCCCACATGCCGCGGATCGGCTGGGCCCGTGAGCCATGGCCGCTGAGCCTGCGCGTCCGGAGCCTGTGCTCTGCAACGGGAGAGGCCGCAACAGTGAGAAGCCCGCGTACTGCGCAAAAAAAAAAAGAGGATGGAGAGTCCCTTTGGTTTTTTAAGTCGTGAAATTTAAGCAGTGGCCACAAAGAAGGTGGATTATCTTGACTGGGTGAAATGGTTATACTGTATTTGTGAAGGTGACCAAGAATAAACAACATAGCAAACCAGATACAAGGCTCAGTTACTTTTGTTTGGCTCATATCTAGGCAACCAGAGTCAGGCACTAATCTAATAATGCAGCTAACTCAGATGAGGGGTGGGGGTGGGGAGGTGGTGGAGAGATGCAAGTGCTGGAAGTGAGACAAGAAGGGCAGAATGCAGAAAATTGTTAAAACTGGGTGATGGATATATGGGAGTTCATTACACTATTCTGTTTACTTCATATATGTTTGAAATTTTCCAAAATAAGAAATGGCTTAGTACAGCAAGTTGCTAACCAACTCTGCAAAAGGCTCATATGATCCTTCATGATTTACTACCTTTGAGACAATCCTTTGCTAGAATAAAAATTGCTATTCTTCTACCCTATTGTCTAAAGAGTACACGTAATGTTGAAAGAAATCATTTATTCAGTAACTTTAAAAATTTTTAATAAACCTTTTGCTGCTTCTTGAATTTGAGAAAGGGTTTTTGAAATTATTTGACTTAAGGGTGCATTATGGGACTTCCATGGTGGCCCAGTGGTTAAGAATCCCCCTGCCAATGCAGAGGACACGGGTTCGAGCCCTGGTCCGGGAAGATCCCACATGCCGTGGACCAACTAAGCCTGTGCACCACAACTACTGAGCCTGCGCTCTAGAGCACGTGAGCCACAACTACTAAGCCTGTGCTCCTAGAGCCCGTGCTCCGCAACAAGAGAAGCCACCACAATGAGCAGCACGTGCACCAGAACAAAGAGTAGCCCCCGCTTGCTTCAGCTAGGGAAAGCCTGCATGCAGCCACAGAGACCCAATGCAGCCAAAAAAAAAAAAAATCCTTTCAGCCTCTTATTCCAACCACTACTGCAGTGACCTTAAAAAAATAAATAAATAAAAGAGTGCATTGTGAATTCAATAAAAGAATTTTTTTGAGGGATTAAAAAAAGACAAACTCAGAGATCAGCCCCATTACATATTAAGCAAGTAGTTTAGATGCAATAAATTATCCCACATGTCTTGGGAATACTTTTACTCTGAAATACAAAGTGTTAGGCTGTTGATGATTATGTTAGCAACAGACTACATTTTCTTGAACCCCAATTGGTACAGTTAGTACACAGCTGAAAGACAGGTGTCATTATATAAAGTTTGAAACAAAGAAAAAATTTTGATCACATAGTGTGTCTCTTTTACTGAAAGACTATGGTGTTTAAGCAGAAAAATGCCTCTCAAGCTTCAGGACATTCCAATTTCAAGTATTTAGCAATTGTGAACTCATGTGTACCCTATTTACTTCCTTATTTGCAAATTTTTTTCTCCCTTATTTTTTTCAATATTATATTCCTTCTCAGTCTTCCAGAAGAAAGAATTCACTCAAACATTTATTGGGAGTTTTGCTTTAAGTTAGGCACAGAATAAGACAAGTCTTCCTCAAGAATTGCAGTTTTAAAATGGTCTTCAATACAATCTCTCCCTACTCCTGGTTTTTTTTTGTTGTTTGTTTTTATTGCTTTTCTCTAGTCACTCTCCAGCTGCATTAACTTTTTTTTTTGGTGCTGATTTTCAATATCTTTATTATGGTTATAGCTTTATTGAGATATAATTCACATACAGTTCACTCATTTAAATTGTACAATTCAATAGTTTTTAGTGTACTTACAGAGTTGGGCAACCATCACCACAATAAGTTTTAGAACATTTTCATTGCCCCCCAAAAGAAACCCCTGGGCCCATTAGCATTTCCCCCTAACCCCCTCAACCCTAAGCAACTACTACTCTACTTTCTGTCTCTCTGGATTTGCCTCTTCTGGGCATTTCATATGCATGGAATCATACAATATATGGTCTTTGTAACTGGCTTCTTTCACTTAGCATCATGCTTTCAAGGTTCATTCACATTATAACAGATATCAGTACTTCATTACTATTTTGGCTAAATAATTTTCCATTGTATGGATAGACCATATTTTATTTATCTATTCATCAAATAATGGACACTTGGGTTGTTTCCACTTTTTGACTATTGTGATTATGCCACTATGAACGTTTATGTATAAGGCTTTTTGATGGACATACATCTTCATTTCTCTTAGGTTTTTACACCTAGGAGTAGAATTGTGGGGTCATATGGTAATTCTATGTTTAATATTTTGAGGAACTGCCAGACTGCTTTCCAAAGCAGATCCACCGTTTTAGCGTTCCACTAGCAATGTAATTAAGGTTACAATTTCTCCACATCCTTAACAGCATTTATTATTTTTTTAATTTTAGCCATCCTAGTGGGTGTGAAGTCGTATCTCATGGTTTTAATTTGCATTTCCCTGATGACTAATGATGTTGAGCATCTTTTCATGTCCTTAATCATTAACTCTTCAGGTAGACCTGCCAGCTTCCTTTCTAATGAGGGAGAAATATGACTTTGTACCACCACCAAGTGTTTATTTAGTTTCTTTGTGCCTGGATCATTAGAAGAATTAGTACTTTTTCTTCCATTGAGGCTCAGCTGCTGCTCCCACATGGTGAATGAAAGGCTTTCTTTGCATTTTTCCAAAGAAGAAAATCCAGGCCTATAGATGTTAAATTATATTATCTGAGCAATGCTTGAAGCAAGAAAAATAAGTAAGCTAAAGAACAAGTATTGGGCTTCCCTGGTGGTGCGGTGGGTAAGAATCTGCCTGCCAGTACAGGGGACACAGGCTCGAGCCCTGGTCCAGGAAGATCCCACATGCTCTGGAGCAACTAAGCCAGCACACTGCAACTACCAAGCCCGCGTGCTCCAACTACTGAAGGCCGTGCACCTAGAGCCCGTGCTCCGAAACAAGAGAAGCCACCGCAATGGGAAGCCCACGCACCGCGAGGAAGAGTAGCCCCCGCTCACCGCAACTAGAGAAAGCCCGTGCACAGCAACAAAGACCCAACGCAGCAGAAAAAATAAATAAACAAAAAACCCCCAAGTATTATTGCAGTCTAAGGAAGTGGGGTGGCTTTGTGTTTTAAACTGACATAGTACATATAAGCAAATCTATTCAAAAGGAATAGAACAGTCAGGTCCTCATGAGACGTGAATTGACATCTTCATATCTCTTTCTCTACTTAAATATTTAAGTACTGGTTGAGTTAAGAGAGGAGAGGAAGAAGTATCGGAAAACCAACGGAGTGTCATCAGGTCAGCCTGAAGAAATCGATACTTTAATTTACAAACTAATTTTCTCTGTCCAAATAAAGTCAACTCCAAGGGCTCACCCTAATTCTCTCACCGTGCTAGGATTTGGTTATTTTGTTATGTCGCTCTAAAAGAGCAGCTGGGATTTGAGAACCGTTGGTTCTTCAAGTGTTTTCAATAAAACGTTTTTTAAAGCCGCGTCCTTGCGTGCGCAGCTGCCACTGCTTACTGGACCCTCCAGAGAGGAGACCTGAGGTCATTATCGACTGTGAGAGGCGTGAACGTCTGGGGAGGAAATCCGAGGCCCTGCTTTGACCGCTATAACAAAAAAGTTCCAACCAACCGGCGTTTTCAAATTTACCACGCCCCTTCCCGCCCTCATCTCCAGGGGAACTTGACCACCCAGCCCTAAACCCAGATCCCTGCTGCAGTTTCCTGCAGGGTACGCTGACTCCAAGTTCAGCGATCCAGCGGAGAAAACCACGGAGAAAACCGCCCGGAGACTCCCGCCACGCCCAGACCCGCCCATCTCTGCTTGGGGCGGAATGGATTCTTTCTCGGCCTTCCAGGCTGCGACGGAGGCCCCGCCCCATTCCCGCCACTTCATTGGCTTTGGTGACCGGCCCCCCGAGTGTCAGCTCCGGATTGGCCGAGTCGGCCGCCGCTCGGCGCTCTTCCCGGGGGCGCGCGGCGGGCGTCACCACGCCCCTTACGTCTGGACGCTGGGTCGCCTCGGGAGCCTCAGTATCGCCGCCCAGAAGGAAGGAAGGTGGTTGTGGTAGGTGCTGCTATGGTGCTGAATTTCTCGACAGAGCCGACCCAGAAGCGGCGGTCGCGGCCATGAAGGTGAGGGGCCGGTGGAGCCGGGCAGTCCCTCCTCTCCTCTCCTATCCGGCTAGTGCGCCCGAAGTGCCTTCCTTACGCCTCAGCGGTTACCCTCCCGGCACCTCGGAGAGCTCCGCGGAGGGGGTCCCCCGCCGGGTTCTGGGGCCCTGACCCGCAGGGCGGATGTCGTGGGCTCCCGGGCGTTTCCAACTCCCACAGCGCCTCCGTCAGCGAGCCCGAGGACGGGGGAGAGCCCGGGCCCGCCCTGCACTCACGCCTGGTGGGCCCCTCTCCGCGCTGGGCCCTGTCCGCGTCCTCGGGGGCCGGAGGCAGACCCCCTGGTGCTCGCCTCACCCTCCGTGCCTTTGCCCACAGCGTGCCTTCTCCCGCCCCGAGTCCTTGAACTAACCCAAATGTTGGGAGCACCACGGGACTGTCGCAGGACGGAAACTGCAGGACGAAGGGAAAAGGGGTTGTGCGGGGAGTCGTGAGGCTGGGGCCCGGCTAACTGGTTAGAAATGTCTCGGGGCGGGGATCCCACCCTGAAGGATCTGTTTGCAGGCTTAACACAGGGGCCCTGACCTAGAGCTCTTAGCAAACCCGTTGTGTCTCCATCGCCGCTAGGTACGCAGCAAGTAATTTGACAGCTTGAGTCTTCACGGTGGGTGTGAGAGCGTGGGAGCATCACTGAGTGAGAAGTTTAAGCAAGAGGGGGGAGGGGGGAGGTTCTGGCCTACTTTTGGGAGCTGATTCTCTCAACTTGATCGCTGAGAGTTCTAAAGAGCTCTGGGTACAACAATCAATTCACGTATTGATTCAAACCAAGTGGGATGAGTCATAAGGTGATACTCTTTCAGACATCGTTGATTTCATTAATCTTAGTGAAGAGGTGTGATTGGCGTGGGTAAGAAAAATAACAGAGTGAACTGCTAGCTAAACCTCTACCCTCACAAAGCCCCAGGAAGATATTTTGTTGAGCATTTCCTATGTGTTAGCTAAGAGGGATATATCATGCGTAGAAGTAATTCAAAATACAATCCCACCCTTTAGGAGTTTGCCAACCAAAAGAGAAGAGACATTCTCAAGAAACCACATCATGAGGCAGAATTTGATGTAAGGTATCAAAAAAATGCAAAACCCTCAGGAGCAAGAAAGGATTTTTTCTGGCTCTAGGAAGCAAGGAAGATTTTTGGAATAGGTAACTTCCGAACTGGGTGTTAAAGTATGAGGATATTCAAAGAGCTTATTTTTTAACTTCCCAGTTCAGCTATAAAATATTTCAACTTAGAATACCTATTATCTAAAACTAGCTTTCTTTCCTGAAAACCATCAATCATTCCGCTGTGTGTTAAGATCCAAAAACAAGTAAGGGATCTTTATACATAATGCCTCAAAGAATGTCAGTACCTTTATTAGTAAATATTAAATTTGTGACCTATCAAGAAACAAGGTGTAGAAGGAGAGAATTAAGGGCAAGTACAGTGTTGAAATTTTTTCAGAAGTGCTTTTGAATTTAGGTGGAGGATACTGCTTTCTGAGTTGAAATTTTAGAAACAAAGTTGGATGGGATTTGAAAATATAAAAAGGTATATTTTATGAAACAAAATGCAGACCTAAATAGACATCAGTCTGAACAAGATGACAGTTATGAAGATACTGCTTTTCATTTAAGTTTTCGTGAAAACTGGATTCACAAAATTTAGGATTGGGGCTATTTATTAACTTTGTTTCATATTGAAATTGTCTAATTTTGTGGTATCTATAGATTCTGGGCAGGGGCATTAATTCCTGATGGATGTCATGGAATTCTAACATGTGAATGTTCATCTAAGCAAGTATTAAATTAAAATTTCAGTGGAATTAAAATTAATTTAAAAGCCAAGCAATCAGATAAGTACATCTTCACACAAACCCAGGACCAGGAGCTGATTTTAGTACATGTGTAGAATGGGTATTTACTTTCTTCCTTTAATTTTTTTGTCTTTTTTTGTTATTGTTTAGAAACTGTTGTTTTGAAATAGGTTTGTCTCAAAGATTCAAGTAACCATTTTACCTTAGAGTAGCATCTAATTAACTTCCTATAAGGGATTTAAAAAAATCCAAATTAGTGTCTTATGTTAATTTGATTTAATCTCCTTCCTGTTTTCCCATATTTATATTGATCTCACCCTTAATTGTACTAATCATGTTCGTTCTTCCAAGCTCAAAACAAGACATCAAGACGAAAGTAATCTGTTTAATGTAATTTCCTTTTCCTTTTTTTTTTTTCTCTTTTCTCTGAAAGGTGGGGGAGTGGTGCTAAGGGTCAAGTATACAGTTTTGTTTTTTAATTTTATTTACTTATTTTTGGCTGCGTTGGGTCTTTGTTGCTGTGCTCAGGCTTTCTCTAGTTGCGGCGAGCAGGGGCTCTTCTTTGCTGCAGCACGTGGGCTTCAGTAGTTGTGGCACATGGGCTCAGTAGTTGTGACTCGCGGGCTTAGTTGTTCCGCGGTATGTGGGATCTTCCCAGACCGTGGATCGAACCCGTGTCCCTTGCATTGGCAGACGGATTCTTAACCCCTGTGACACCAGGGAAGTCCCAAGTATACTGTGTTAAGAAAAGAAAACAAAACCCAAACATGAAGAAGATAACATTTATGATCTCCAGAACACGTTATTTGTAAAAATCAATCAATTTGGCCAAATGTCTTACCTAAAAATATTACATTATTAAGATCAGCATTTGTTTTTGCATCCTGCTTAATGTCCAAATGGTATGAGAGAAAGAACTTGGATGTAGAATTTCCTCCTTTGTGGTATATAGCCTGGTATTTAATCATTAAGATCGCAGAGTTCCTGGTGTATTGTATTTCAGTTGAAGCAACAGTTTCAGTAAGAAATTCTTTCCCTTTTTAAGGAACTGTCCCTCCAGTGGCTCTAAATAGGGTAAAGATTTTTGCTTATTATCTTAATGGTTTCTTCTGGTTTGCTTTAATTTCTGTAGGGAAGTTTAACCTAATTGAAATTTAAACTGTAAAACTTACTCTCTTATATCACTGGTACTGAGATTTGAAACATCTTTTCATATTGTTTAACATAAGGACATTGAGTTTTAGCAAACTGAAGGTTGTTCAGAGTTTAAAGACAAAGCTTGTGGTGATTGAGTTCTCTGAAGAAGCTTCCACTGGTGGAAGAACTGAATCCCTGCCTGGTCCTTGTAGCTTCTTACAGCATCCAAGAAAATTAATGTTCTTGAAATTGAAACTTCTAGGTTTATCCTTAAAATAACTGTGTAAAATATTACCATATTTAATTTAGAGTTGAGGCAAGCAACTCTTAGAAGGTGGCATTATGATTACTGCTGTTTACCTAGTTTAATCAAAAGCAAATGATTTAGACTATGACCATTTAGTTTTTTGCTGTTTTCAAACCCATCAACTTCCCCACTCCCCCTTCTCTCTCTCTCTCTCTCTCTCTCTCTCTCTCTCTCTCTCTCTCCTCCCTCTCCTCCCCCTCCTCCCCCTCCTCCCCCTCCGTCCCTCCCTCTCTGGCTGTCATTTAATCTTCATGGAAATCACTACAGCTTTTCTTGGTCTTCATTCTAGTTTGCCTGGCTACTATTACATTTGGTGGAATAATTAAAAGGGATCACATCCTGATGTAGTTTAGAATAGGATTCAAAGTTTGTAGTAAACTTTTTGTTAATTCTGTAAGTTGAGCATTTTGGACGTCTCCCCGCCCCAACCCCCAGATATTCTAGAAAGCACATTAGATCTCACACAGACACGCACACGCACAATCAAAGACAGCTGAACCTTGAGCCATTTGAAAACTGGCACTTTGCCAAAAAGAAGGCTGGGCTATTGCTCTTGCAAAGAAAGAACACATTCCCTCTTGCTTTTGTTGACTGAAATGATGATTCAGAATGGGCCTGTATTGTGTGAATCTGACTGAGGAACCCAAGAGAGTGCTGAAAAAATTGGTGGTCTGCTATTGTGGAAACAAGTGTCACAGCACTGGAAACTGTCAGTCCCACTCTCCTGCACTGTTTACAGTTGTGGATCACAGTCCCCTCCCCTCCTCTGTACTCCTACAGAGGGGAGGGAATTTCTAATTCATTCTTTAGGAAGGAACAAGAGGAACTTTTATGTTGGTGATTTTAGCAAAGGAGCTGAACATACTTGCCTCAGTACTTTTCTGACACCTTCTCAGATTTATCTTCCTGTGGGTAGGGAAGGGACTCTGGTCAACTAGATGGTAAGCTGCTGTTGGTCAGCTGTGCTGGTGGCTGGGTGGCATGTTATCCAGACCAGTTGGCTGCAGAGCTAAAGTCATGTTCTCCAATTGGTGTTACCAGTAAAAAAGCAAATATTTAAATTTCTGTTTGTCTTATTTCTTTACTCAGTTTTAAAATGGGAGTGAGAAAAAAATGTAGTGTTATTGGCTCCCTAAAATCTTGGTGCACTGTCTTTGAAAAAAAACATGAGAACTGGCATTGGACACTAGAATAACATGAAGAGATCTAGGTGTCTGGGGCAGTCCAAACAGGAGGCTTTACAATTTAATTTCTTACTGTGGGCCATATAAGTTTTTAATATGAGATCTGGTTCTTAATTGATGCCAGGCAGGCCATGGTTCCATGGCTAATCTACTCAGGAGCAATTTTAGTCTAACAGGATGTTTAGGAAAGGGATTAGGTTTACCAAGAAAAAGTCATTTATTTTCAGTAGTCATTGATGGCTAGAAAGTCAACTAGAAACACAGCTAAATTCTCTGAACTAGGAGTTTTGTATCAGACGTAAGTAGATGGTTGCCTTATTCGGTTATTCTCTATGTTGTTTTTGATGGTCCATATTCATGGTCAAGAGAGGAAATGTAACCATCCTTCTCACCTCTTGGATTCATGTGGTTTAGTCTGTAGAGTCCTGCTGTCAACCATGGTCCCAAGTAGGGTTTAGAATTGTTAGTCACATAAGCCCAGATCATAGCAGAGATCCAGACTTTGGCTTTATTCGTGGAAAGGTAGTAGTTCGGAAAATATGCTTCGATCTTACTATCAAAAGGTGAGCAGAGTGTGAATAAAAGAAAAATAACGGAATGCAGGCTGATTAAACTGGCGGAAGATCTTAGAGGATAGGGACGACGGAAGTAGAGAGAACATGAACTTGGGTCTCTAAAGCTTTTAAGGGGAGGGTTCAAAAAGGGGAAGCTTTTTGGTTATGACCCTACCAGGTACGGTAACTGGGCTCTAAGGAAATATAACAAAGACAGAGAGTCAAGAGCTCAGAGAATAAATTCATGTTCACCTCCCCGCCCCTTTCCCAAGAGCACACGTTCAATGAACTGTTGGGAAAACGCTCTCTTAAATTGTTCCCTAATTGCTTTTGTAGATTCTGTCACTTGAAAAATGGGACTGTTATATCAAGTATTAACAGAAATTTGGACAGATTTGAGAGGAGAAAGGTCAGGATAGGACACTTCAAGCATTATTAGGGCAAGGTAATAGTCCTTAGATAGGGATCCCTGTGCCCTGAGGGGACACGCAGAAGAAATTCAGGCAATTAGGACTTTAAGGGAAAGTACAAGAAGATGAAACATACTAACGGGAGGCAGGGAGATGGACCCTAAGTTTGGAAGATTCATCTTTTGGGTGGATTCTTCAACTTGGAGGTGAAGAAGGACAAAAATAGTTTGCCAAATGGCTTTTTGACAGACCCAGGAATCACTGTCTTTCTCCCAGTATTAGAGAGTTCACCCAAGAAAATATGTAGAGGAATAAGTTAGGAAGTAAGAAATCTGGGCCAAAAAGCAAAGAGCAAATAAAATGAAGGAGGGCACCAAATTTCAGCTTAACTTCCAGGCTGATATGTGGTAAAGGAAAGGAACTGATTGGGGACTTCCCTGGCGGTCTAGTGGTTAAGATTCCGAGCTTCCACTGCAGGAAGGTTCGATCCCTGGTCGGGGAACTAAAACATGCGCGTGTGGTGCAGCCAAAAACATTAAAAAAAAAAAAGTTTTTTTTTAAAAAGGAAAGGAACTGATTTAAGAATCAGATTAAATTGTTAAAAACTCAGCTGAGGCCTTCTGAGCTAATCCTTTCTGAAAGGATTAGGGGAAACCAGAGGGGAAAAGGAAACACTAGAGGCAAATCCCACTACTTGGGGATGGGGGTGTGAAGGGGCGGTACCTACACAGGTAGTGAGGAGCACGTGGCAGAGATGTTGGTCCTAGAACTCTAGAGGCACAGGCTTCAGAATTAACCACAGCCCCTTCCATTTGGGAATCTGAGTGACTCTCCAGCTGAAATGATGTAGGCAGAAAGGAGAAATCCCCTAGACCGAGCAGGTGTTAACCTTTTAACCTTGACTGTACATTCACATCACATAGGGAATTAAAAAAAATTCTGAGGCCCAGGTTGTACCCCAGACCTGTTAAATCAGAATCTTGGGGCTGCGACTCAGGCACCAGTATTTTTTAAGGCTCTCCTGGTGAGTCCAACCACTGTCTTTCTTTCTTTCTTTTTTTTCCGGGTGCGTTGCGTCTCCGTTGCTGCGCGTGGGCTTTCTCTAGTTGTGGTGAGCAGGGGCTACTCTTCATTGAGGTGCACAGCCTTCTCATTGTGGTGGCTTCTCTTGTTGCAGAGCACGGGCTGTAGGTGCACAGGCTTCAGTAGTTGTGGCTCGCAGGCTCTAGAGTGCAGGCTCAGTAGTTGTGGCGCACGGGCTTAGTTGCTCTGCGGCATGTGAGATCTTCCCGGACCAGGGCTCGAACCCGTGTCCCCTGCATTGGCAGGCAGATTCTTTTTTTTCTTTTTCTTTTATTTATTTATTTATTTTTGGCTGCGTTGGGTCTTCATTTCTGTGCGCGGGCTCTCTCTAGTTGCGGTAAGCGGGGGCTACTCTGTTGCGGTGCGTGGGCTTCTCATTGCCGTGGCTTCTCTTGTTGTGGAGCATGGGCTCTAGGCGCGCGGGCTTCAGTAGTTGTGGTGCGCCAGCTCTAGAGCGCAGGCTCAGTAGTTGTGGCGCACGGGCTCTAGAGCGCAGGCTCAGTAGTTGTGGCACACAGGCTTAGTTGCTCCGCGGAATGTGGGATCTTCCTGAACCACGGCTCGAACCCGTGTCCCCTGCATTGGCAGGCGGATTCTTAGCCACTGCGCCGCCAGGGAAGTCCCATTATTACTGTTTTTTGATGTGGACCATCTCCAAAGTCTTTACTGAATTTGCTACAACATTGCCCCTGTTTCATGCCTTGGTCCCTTGGCCACAAAGCATGTGGGATCCCAGTTCCCCAGCCATGAATCTAACCTGCACCCCCCACACTGGAAGGCGAAGTCTCAACCACTGGACCGCCAGGGAAGTCCCTCCAAATAGCCTTTTAAGGTTGTTTAAAAAAAAGTTTTTTTTAAGAGCTCATTGGACAAGCAGTAAATGTTTGACAGAATTAGATAATAAAATAAATGGAACAGTGCCTTTGTTATGCCCTTTTAACTAATAAGACCTCACCTACCTGGACTTCCATTACTTATCACATTATCTAGAGTCTAGAATATGCATAAGTAGTAGGACAAGGGGCAAAAGCTCATTGGTTCCAAACAGTGTAGCTTTATATTTTAAGCATGGGAAAATGCCTTGAGCCCTCACTGAAAATGTATTTTTATATACACTTCTAACAAGCTTGGTTATCAGGTTTCTGAATGCAGTAAAAAAGGAGAGACAGGTTGCTAGAGGTTGATATAGTGATAGCAGTGGTGATTCACAGAAAGGGAAGAGATGAGAGGAAAAAACATAAAAGGCAGCATATTAGTTTCAAGCCACTTAGTGGAGTGGCAAATAGCCCTTACACCTCAAAACGTCATTATGATTATCAAGTCATCAGAAATTGTGTTCAGTATTCTCAGTTTGCTTTTTAAAAATATTTTCCTTAATGTTAATATATTCCTTGTAAAGGTTTGGAAAGCAGGGGAAAACAAATTATACGAGATATACATGAAAACCTAGAGAGCACTTCAATTGGCATTTTGATGTTTTCCTAGTCATTGTTAAAAAATCAAAAAAGTTTTCACATGCCATAGTTTATTATGCCTAGATACAAATGAGAGGACAGAAGTTTAATGAAATTAAGTAATTAGAATTTATATTCTTTCTGCTAAATGATAGCTGGGAAAATCTGCCTCAGCCTATAGAACGGTGCTGTAGTCACCAGTCTAAGGTTGCCAGATAGAATACAAGACACTCAGTTAAATTTGAATTTCAGATAAACAGTGAACAGCTTTTTTTGGTGTAAGCATATCCCAAATATTGCACAGCACTTACTTCCATCTAGTCATTTTTCTTCTGTGTGCATGCACGTGTATCTCTAAGCATATGTTTTTTGTTGTTGTTTTACGAAATTGGGTTCATATTGTATCTTCTCCTTTGTTAACAATATATCATGAGTATCCCCAAAGCCAAATATTCTTTGTAAATACCAGAATATTATCCACTTCCCAATAGCTTAAAATTTTGATGCTTAAAAGAATAATTTCGAAATTATTTAGGGCAAACGTGCCTCTCCAGAATGGCATTCCCCGAGAATCCCAGAGAGCCCAGGTTCCAATCAGCTTTAAACTGGTGCCTATTTTCGTTCCTTTCCAGGCGGGTGCCACGTCTATGTGGGCTTCGTGCTGTGGGCTGCTGAATGAAGTCATGGGGACTGGAGCTGTCAGGGGCCAACAGTCAGGATTTGCAGGAGGCACTGGTCCATTCAGATTTACACCGAGCTCTGATTTTACCACTTACCCACCAGCACCTACAGAAGGGCCTAATATAGTTTGCAAAGCCTGTGGACTTTCATTTTCAGTCTTTAGAAAGAAGGTGAGTTGGATGAAATGTTACACACAAAAAAACACATGTATCAGAATTCTTGATTGTATGTTATTTTGAATACTAATGAATATTCATTTCTTCTTATACAAATATCAAAAAGTCCTAATAACCATTTCCCATTTAGAAAAGTACTGAGTTGCAGAGACTGTATCACTGCTCAGGTTTTCTGACTAGACATTGTTACTTCTCATGTTGCTCAGCCATTCTTTCTCCTGGACTCTGACCTGTTCATACACTTTGATTCTTATGTTCTGAAGCAAGAGATTTAATTAGTCTGCAGTTTTGTTCAGAGAAGATTTACTATAACTTTGATCTCAAGTTTCAAAAAATGTATCCCCACCCACATTAACTCAAGTGAAGAAATGAGTATATTAACATTAGCTACTGTTTAAAGATTCAACATGCAAAATAACAGCTAAAACCGTTGTTTTCTTTAGGACAGAAAGTTGTTCTTTCTGAGAACCATCATATTGCTGGGCCATCTCTCAGGCTTGTCAATCCAGTCCTTTGAAATACTTAACAAGGTGTTAGCTTGTGGGAACAATGCCCCAAGCAGAAATGACCACATCTTCATGTCTTCTTTTAAGTTTTGCTTGTGGAATGGCTTTGATTGTGATTAAGGCTCTAGGGTACAGATTACTGTATAAGTGGGGTCCTCTGTTTGCTTGGATTGACCTTGAGAGATCAGTTGCCTTTCTCTTTCCCTCTCTGTGTTAGGCTTTTCCCCCTTCTCTTTTTTTTTTTTTTAAATTTTTGGTGGCATTGGGCCTTCATTGCTGCGCGTGGGCTTTCTCTACTTGTGGCGAGTGGAGGCCGCTCTGTTGTGGTGCGTGGGCTTCTCATTGCAGAGCACAGGTTCTAGGTGTGCAGGCTTCAGTAGCTGTGGCTCGTGGGCTCTAGAGCGCAGGCTCAGTAGTTGTGGCACACGGGCTTAGTTGCTTCATGTCATGTGGGATCCTCCCGGACCCGGGCTCGAACCCATGTCCCCTGCACTGGCAGGCCGATTCTTAGCCACTGCGCCACCAGGGAAGCCTGCAGTCCCCCTTCTCTTTAAATGGGGAAATTTTCACATAGGCAAAGAGCAGGAAGAGAGTTTGTGGTCATGCTTTCTGCTCCATGTGGTTCAAGTCAGCTCTGTTTTGCTAATTACGTTTGCCTGAAGGGGTGGAAAGGTTTTAATTCATTAACACAAGAGTATGTTTTTCTTAAAGGTCTGTATTTGAACTTCTGTGAATCTAAACTGCCTCAGCAGTGACTGTTTTGATTTTCACCACTTTTAGAACACGAAAACGCCCATGGGTCTGGTGCCATGGGGGACTTCATAAGAACTAAAATTTAATTTTAATAGAAGGCAAAAGGAAAACTAGTCCTTTCACAATGGCTTGTATCTGGCTCTCATTAAATGCTTCTTTCCTATCTGTTTCTTCAGCATGTATGTTGTGACTGCAAGAAAGACTTTTGCTCCGTTTGTTCGATCTTACAAGAAAATCTCCGTAGATGTTCCACTTGTCACTTATTACAAGAGACAGCCTTTCAGCGCCCTCAGTTAATGAGACTGAAAGTGAAGGATCTACGGCAGTATCTCATTCTTAGAAACATACCGATCGATACCTGTCGAGAGAAAGAAGACTTGGTAGATCTGGTACTGTGTCACCGTGGGCTGGGCTCTGAGGACAACCTGGACACGAGCAGTCTGAATTCCTCAAGGTCCCAGACTTCTAGCTTTTTTACACATTCATTTTTTTCAAACTATACAGCCCCACCTGCTACCATGTCTTCCTTTCAGGGAGAGCTTATGGGTGGAGACCGGACCTTAGGATCTGGAGTACTGGCACAGGTACGAGGGTGTAATTACCCTGAGGGCCTGACATGTCGTCTGCTTTTGGCCAATATGGAGGGGGCTTTAGGGCTGAAGACTCCTTGCTGAGCCGGGGTTCCATGTGCTGCTGAACTCTGCACTTGCAGGCTCTCCTGATGTGAGGCTCCAAGCTCAGATGCTGCCTGAAGGGCCCAAAAAGAGCTCATCAGTCTCTTAACCTTAGTTACCTCAGTTTCCCTATCTTATATAGTTAAATACTAGCTGTCGAAATAATGACTGTCACATGTAGCATATAAACATTTGCAGGACTATTTGTATGTCAGTGACCATGGAAACTATAAGTTAACCTAATGCCCAGTTGTCTTGCTACCGTAAAATTGTTCTAATTTAGATATTGGGAAACAGCCATCTGAATTAGTGACAGGATATGGTTATTTACTCATTTCAAAGAAACGCCAGTGCAGAATGTTGTCCCAGTGAGGTCCTTGGGCATACTAATTGAATAACATGCGAAGTCTTGTAATTAATACTCAATTTGTATATATGAATGATTCTAAAATGCTGAAAGAATTGTTTTGAACATTCATTTCCACATTTAATTTTCTCCTCTGAGGAAAGAGGTTAGCAGCAGAGGGAAATGTGGTCTAGCTGCTTTCTAAAGAGTCATCAATTAGATAAGCCCAAGCTAGGAGTTTCATTATTTTCCCAAATGGCAGCTGGCATAATTATGATGCAAAGGTAAGACACATCTGACTTTTGTGTCACTTTTGGGTATATGACACCACTTGGGAGATGTGGGTCTTTGGATGATACAATATAGTGTTTGTGAACTGGTGGGGTAGAATACTTGAAATTGGGCATTGTCCTAGGCTTTCTGTTCTCCTTAAAGAAAAGAGTGTCTGATTGTTGAGGAATTTCTGAAAACTAGAAATAGCATCAACCATCAGTGAATTAGTCTAGAAAGCATTGTTTGGAATTAGAATGTCTAAGCATGAGGTAGTAGGATTGAGATCTTTGAAATCAAATACCCTTGACACTAGGGCTGATCTTAGAGCTTTAGTTTCTACCTGTATCTTAGAGGCTCCAGTTAAACCAGCCAGGCCCAGGTCCTTTGCTAAGGACACAGTGCAATTCCATACGCTTTTGGCTTTGACATTCTGTGATGGGACCTTCTTAACTCCTGGGGAGTTAACACTATGGTTAGATTTTAAAAATTCACACACACATAGGAATTTGACTTTTGAGATAACTATGGAAGGTAAATTGTTTATCGAATCATGTGGTGCCCAACTCTTTGGGAGAGGCAGCAGCACTCAGGATCCTAGGAAGGTGTGGAGTATGCCAGGTATTAGAGTCATTCTTGGGGAGGATCTATTGGAAGGGTTTTCTCCAGTGATAAATATGGGTTGGTACCATTAGGAAAATGATTCCTGACCTAATATGTATCATGTGTGTAGGTGCGAAGTGAAATAGCCTCAGCAAACACAGAAGATGATGAAGAAGATGACGATGATGACGACGATGACGACGATGACGAGGATGAAGAAAACTTGGAGGAGCGGGTGAGACGGCCTACAAAATTTGGTTTCCCTGACATGTCACCTTGGTAGGCAGGGAAAATGCCCATGTGGACTGTCGCTAGATTAGCACAGGATGTTTCTTTTGGTTTGAATGCAGCACAATACATAAAACACTTCAAGAACTGGTGAGAAGTCTGGGGAGAATCTCCAGGGCCAGTGATGACTGTAGGATGAAGGCAGCATGCTGTTTTCCTTGCTGGATTTGCAGGAACAGAGGTAATGGACACACTCTGTGATTTCAGACATCTGGCCTCGCTAAGAAGAGAGTGAGAGCTTCTCTGTCTGACCTGTCAAGCCTTGAAGACGTGGAAGGGATGAGCGTGCGCCAGCTCAAGGAAATCCTGGCTCGGAATTTTGTCAACTATTCTGGCTGTTGTGAAAAATGGGAGCTAGTAGAGAAAGTAAACCGGTTATACAAAGAGAATGAAGAAAATCAAAAGTCATGTAGGTTTATTTTTCCTTTGTTTCCCTGTAGTAGCTTTCTTTAGGCCTTTAAAAACTGGCCTGTTTCTGTCAGTTAAGTCCACTTTATTTTTGAGAAACCTATGTATCCTTTTATTGAGTGTGAATTAGTTATATAAACCTGTTTCTAGATCTGTTAAGCAGTAAGTTCATTATGTGATGTTGGCTTTGAGATCACCATTGCCAATGAGTTAGATAATCTTTTGTTCAGTCTGGTTTTTCTGGTCATAATTTGTTAGAACTCTAATGAAATTCCTTGTATCTAAGAAAGGCTTGTTTTCTCACTAACCTGTCTGGCAGGCCAGTACTTAGGATTTAAAAGCTACAATTGAGATAATCAAACAGTGGGGGGAAAAAATTCCCTAGAGCCAGGATGTTAAGTAGTTCTTAACATCAAGTATCAGTAGGTTTCTTTGTAAGTCACGAAAAGCTAAGGTTAAGAACTTCTGAACTATTTATTGATGGAGCATGGAGCAGAAATCTTCAGCTGGTAACAGGGCCAAGCCACAGAGCATTTATAGGCAAGAAAAAAGAATTCAGTGGTGTGTTCAGACTGACAAATATTATGTTCTTATCTAGAAAACAGTCCTCCCATCATTAACGTGCGTCATCTTGAGTTTTTTTCTTTAAAACCTGGTTATAATACAGCATTTGTTGATAAACAGGTTTATGCCCAGAATATGCAGATAGTATTTTGGCACACCTATTTCTTTTCTTTTTTTTTCTTCAATATATTTATTTATTTTTGGCTGCGTTGGGTCTTTGTTGCTGTGCACGGGCTTTCTCTAGTTGTGGAGAGCGGGGGCTACTCTTCGTTGCGGTGTGCGGGCTTCTCACCGTGGTGGCTTCTCTTGTTGTGGAGCACGGGCTGTAGGTACGTGGGCTTCAGTAGTTGTGGCTCGTGGGCTCTAGAGCACAGGCTCAGTAGTTGTGGCACATGGGCTTAGTTGCTCCGAGGCATGTGGGATCTTCCTGGACCAGGGCTCAAACCCGTGTCCCCTGCATTGGCAGGCGGATTCTTAACCACTGTGCCACCAGGGAAGTCCCACACCTACTTCAAAGATGATGCAACAGTTAGCAGATACAGGCATCTTAATCATTGGAGCCTACAGAGGCTCATCTGTTATCTTATTCATGGATCCTTTCTCCCCACTTTCCAGTAATGGTATGGACCATGAACTAGGACCCCAGATGACAAGATTCTCTTGACACAACAGTGTTTATTTCCTTAAATTCAGGGACTATTCGCTTTTCAAGCTTGAATTCCTGTTTGGTTCTTTCTAACCTTCTTCATGATTCACATTAATCCCTTCTGTGACGTATACAAAGGGAAGCCTCACTGTCCATAGCTCTATGGCCAACTCTCAGGCTGCAATGAACTTTGTAAACTCATTCTGAACCTTTCTTATTCAGAATCAGAATGTCCCATGCCTTTTGAGTTAAACAGACTCCCAGCAGTACCATCGTAGCCAGAAACACAGATGAATTTTGAGATGCTTCCAAGGCTCAGGGGGTGCCGTCCCTCAACTACAGGCTACTTGATGTATGACTCTATAGCTTTCCCGTCGGTGTAGAAATAAAGCTCCTCCTCCTACTAGGATGAGGCTCTGGAGCCTGTGACTTTCCCAAGGCCACACAGTTGGGCTGGAAATTCGAATCGTGTTCTGACTCTGAGGCCCGTGTAGGACAGCCTACGGCTTCTTCATTTTTATTTATAGAAGCAAGCTATCACAAAAACCTTGTATTATATACAGATGTAAAATAGAATTAAATAGGGGCGGGGGTGGGAAAAAAAGAATAAATAGCTAACATGTGTTAGGCACTTCATCCCTGGTCCTAAGCTAAGTAAGTATTTCTCACTTACTCTTCACAAAACCCTATGAGGTGTAATTATTGCCATTTCTAGTGGAAGGAACCGATGTGCCAAGAAGCAGGGACTATTTCTCTTACAGTGGGGTCACTCTGGGTCACTCAGAGGCCGTGCCCGCAGCCCCAGCTCTCTGTTGCCTTTCAGATGGCGAGCGGCTGCAGCTGCAGGACGAGGAGGACGACAGCCTGTGCCGGATCTGCATGGACGCCATCATCGACTGTGTCCTGCTCGAGTGCGGGCACATGGTCACCTGCACTAAGTGCGGCAAGCGCATGAGCGAGTGTCCCATCTGCCGGCAGTATGTGGTGCGCGCCGTGCACGTGTTCAAGTCCTGAAGCCGAGGACCCCCCAGGCTCGATCCCAGACGTTTCAGTGCACAGAAGGGACTGGAAACTTCCTGTTCAAAATCTGAAGCTATTTTTAAAAATTATTTTCACGACTAACCGGGGACAGGAGAGATTCATCCTAAGTTGCAGCAACGCTGGTCCATGCTGTGTGCCTGTCAGCTGGAGGACTGGCTCAGCTTCCCAGTTTCTGCTGGGCTTCTTCACACATCTCTGATTACTAATCGCCGAAGTCAGACTGCTTATGGCATCAGCTACTGTTCTCTTTGGAGGACATTTATCTTGTTCTCTTATTTCTCCTTCATCCTATTTTTAACTTAAACTACTCAGATGTTTGAAACTTCTGCTCTCTTTGGATGAGGTCACTGTCTGCAAATGGCCGACATGGTATACGCTGAACAGGGGCACCTCTGAATGTTCATTTTATTAGTCATGTATATTTTAAATGCTACTATTTGATGAATGTAATTTTCCACATTGTTGCTATTTCTGCATTTAAACGTAATTGGGAACAACTGACATTCTATAGTCAACTGCCAGGACCTGAGACTAAACATGTCCATTTTTGTTCAGGTACAGCTTTTTATAGCGAGGGCTGCATCTAGCTTCCTTCATTAGAGAAGTGTGTGCGTTAAATTCTTTATTAACGTGTAATCAGTTTACACTGTTTTATATATTGAAAGTGTATTTTCAGTGCTACCCACGAGCTAGTCTGAACTTTAGGAATAAAATTAGGTTTTAAAAAATGCTTTTGTTTACATTTGTCCTGGCCAGTTCCTAATTCACTTCGGTGCAGCATGAATGGGTGTCCAGGCCTGGTCTAGTACATTCTTCATGAGAGAAAGGAGCACCTTCAAAGATGTTGTACCTGTCTACCTTGGCTGCTAATTTACCAGTAAATTTAACTACATATTTGCCACATACTGTGACCAGGTATTGTGCCAGGTGCTTTATGGTTACCTCCAGCATTCTGAAATAGATATTGCCTCACATCACAGATGGGGAACTTGATCTCTGAGAAGTTAAAGAACTTGTCGAAAATCTCACAGTTAAAAAGTCACCATAGGGAATTCCCTGGCGGTCCAGTGGTTAGGACTCTGCGCTCTCACTGCTGAGGGCACTGGTTCAATCCCTGGTCAGGGAACTAAGATCCCATAAGCCATGTGGGGCAGCCAAAAAAAAAAAGTCACCACATCAGAATTTGAACCTAGCTCTGATGACAGTGTTTTTTTCTTACCTCTTCTAATACCACAACTGAGAAACCTGAGACATTAGCTTATGCTAAAAGGTTCTTGGGACATTAATGATCTGAAATCTCTTTTCTTTTAGGTCCAGCTCTAATCAGGGTGGTTTTTTGGTTTAGTTGAGACCAAATGTGGATTCATTCCCATGGCTTGTGGGCAGGTATGTTTTTAGGAAACTATGTAACTTCTTGGCTGAGTCCTGTGGGTTTTTTATCTTTTGACTCTGCAGTGTTTAACACATGCCTTCAGGTGCTCAGGATCCAGAAGTCAATCAACAAGACCTGAAACTTACAGCAAAGGAGGTAAACAGTCTTGCCCCTCTGTGCTTAAGGCAGTAAGTTTGGCTAGCTGTGAAAAAAAAGTTGCCTTTCTACGTTTTCTGGTTTTGAGTGTCAGAGCATGTAAATCAAAGCCTTGTGGATATTCTGAATACCCTTCTCCTGTGCTTGCCTGAAGAGCCCAGGGTGGGTATTAGCTACAATTCAGATGGACAGTAAAAGCTCAGCCCCTGCTAAAGCCTTAGGAGCACTTAGTCTGTACTTCTCCTGAGACGGTGAACTCCAGAAGTTCAACTTTCCCCACAAATCCCTAATTTGGTGGAGAGAAGTCTTCAAATCCAGGCCAGTGGGTGATGGTAAACACACTGAAATAGAAGCTGAGCAGCAGGTGTTGGGGTATCTTAAATTAGAAAATTGAGATTTATTTGCTCATAGTCTCAGAACAGCTTGTTTACTGTTTCTTTTTGGACTTATAGTTTCAGGTGCTTGTTTCAGCAATGAACAAAAACTCTCAACGGTGGATCTTCTTAAGTAGCATTTTGAAATAACCTTGGCTCAGTGAGAAGCCAACAAATTTTTAGCCTAATAGGCTCGACACTTGGAATAACTGAATTGCAAGGGACTAACTTATCTGGCAGAGGGCAAACATTCCTCCCTGGAATCTGCATTTTCTAGCTGCATGCCATGCATCTTTAATTTTTTGAATAGGTCATCTATCATATGGATAAAATTCTGGAAGTTCACAATGGAATGCAATGACGTCTCTTTGTCCTTGTCCTCACAGAATGGAAGGATGTCATTCCATGTTTTGGATGGGCCGTGGTGCCTGCCTTTGTAAAGGCCAGGATGCCTAGAGGAAGGAGGGTTATGGCCTCTCCTCTTTCCTGGGTTAAGAAGTTATGATCCTCTTACAAGAAGTGGTCCCTCTGGTTTATGGTCCTTCCATTACTTCATCAGATACAGTGTATGGGCTCAGAGCAGCTGTTTGCAGGCACCTAGCTTGGCCTGGCCTCATCTAAAGCTCATTTTTGAAGGAATGAGTCTGTTCGAGACTGTACTGGGGTATAATCTTAACTGGATTGTTCAGTACACTTGGGGGAAGGTCATCTGTGACCAGTGCACTGCCTTGGCCGTCTCAAGCCTAGAGAGATGCTGTCCTTACTCTGTGGTGTGTCCTTATGGAAACTCCAGCTGCTCAGCCCTGGCAGCCCTTCCTTCACCTCCTCTCTTGGCTGACCTGTGTGCTCCTGGAAACATTACAGGGCACGGAGGGCCCTCTAATGCTGAGATTCCACTTGAAAACCACCGTCCTCCTTCAACGGTTCCCAAGGGAGAAGATGCCTTTATTGGACATGAGGGTGACTCTTACTCGGAGGCTCACAGCACTCAGGCCGCCAAGAAGACTGCAACTTGACCTCTTGTGTGGGTGCTCCACGATGAACGATCAGGCTTGCAAAGGTAAGCCACGTTTTTATAAATAAACCACAGAGTGTTAAACTAATCTTAACTTCTGTTAAAGTTTAGTTTTAACTCTGCGTCTCCTGAGTTAAATTCTGGGGTGCAACAGCTTCAGATGTCTCCAATTTGAGTCAGAAAGTATCTCTGGATTTAAATTAATAGGCGGTGGCACAGACTAGATGAGATGTAAAACCATTTCGCCGTGGCAAAAAAAAAAAAGGATGGGGGGCAGGGGCAGTAAGAAACTACCACAGCAGGAAAGGCTAGTCCCATGAGTCCCAAGTCTGATGTTGCTGTTGATGACTGAGGAAGGAAGCTGGGTTATCTTCATTTTCAGATGACTAGAGCAGTTGTTCCAGTATAAAAATCCTGTGATCTAAAGTCTACTTCTCACTGGTTTCTATGTCTGCCACCTGGGGAAGTTATCGCCTAACCAGGTGCCTCCACCACCCCAGCCCCAGGTTACCAGTGCAGGATGTGGCCTCCTTGAGTTGCGTCCAGTGGAAGCTGAGGAAATGAACCCCTGTCCCCCTTTGGCAGTGGAAATGCCAAGTGGCTGTGGAAGTTATTTTATACGGGTGTGGTCAGCAGCACCCAAACAGGTAAGCCACCCTGCCTCTTAAGGCAGTTCGTACCTAATTCTTACACATGGACACTGGTGTAGCACAGTTCTTTCCCGTTACCTTTATTAGCTACAAACAGCAAGATCTCTTTCTGAAGACTGAAAAAACACGTACCAAGGGGCTGCCACATTTCTCAGATGAGTAAGAAATTATACCTTGTTTGGCTTCAAAACAGTATATACACTGGCGTTGAGACTACTGCCTCTGGACTTCCTAGTCAAATTTCTAGTCCACCCCTAGAACAGAAACAGAAACCCTCCAAGTCCAAGAGTGTTTTTTTTTTTTGTACAATTGTTTATACAAATTCAACAAAGGTAAAACCGCATCAGGGAAGGTCTAGGAAAACACCACCTTACAACAATGGCACTTATGAATGCATAACTTTACAACTAGGAAACAGCCATGTTATAAACCTTAAACGAGAACTCAACTCACACTTCAAAGGAGAGAAAAAAGGAAAAGAAAGGCTATGTTGGATCATTTATTCAACTTCTTGACTCACTGTATAAATTAGATCTATGTAGAGTACAAGAGCTCATATGCGGGAGCAAACCCCTCCTGAGTTCAAAGGCTGAAGTCTGAATTTTAAAATTTTGAGAAAAAGGTGAATTCTATACAGAGGAAATTTAGCAAAGTGTCTCACTTTGACTATAATTTATACATATCCACAACATGCTTATGTAACTTCTTGACATACAAAGCAGGCTCTCAACTTCCAGTTAGACATGCTTTTAACTGGAAGGTCTTAGCCTGTTTTGCCAGATCTGGGCACGTGTGTAGATGGAGTCGTATGACGTACAGGTTAAGTTCTCTCCTACCTGAAGGAAACCAGGAAAGTTGGCAATCTCAAAACAATAAAAACACTGGTATGCATTCAAACCTTGCATAAATAACTTTTGAACAATTTGTACAAAAATAGTTCTGCATAATGTAAGATGTAACAAAACCAAACAAACAAACATGTCAAGACGGCAGCTGTGGTGTGTGGTCCATTTTATGTTGACACCAAAAACCCCAAAGTTGCCAGGAATAAGGTGTCCAAAACAAAAAACACCACCACCAAAAAAAAAATTCCTAAGCTCATGCTTCCAGTAAGAGAATTTCTCCCAAGTCCATCCTCCTCTCCGACAGGAATGTCTTCTTGGTAAAGGCTGCCTTAGAAATGGTCCAGAAAGCAGTGCAGTTTTGATTCAGAAAGACCAAAGGAAAGCGCCTGACTCACTCAACCCCAAAACGGTGGCGGACTGGCTTCTCCCTCAGCGAGACTTGCAAAATGGAATCGTTCTGTGGTCTGTTGTTCCAAGTTCCAAATTGAAAATAAAAGCCCTAGTTTTTGTAAAGTCTTTTTCCCTCCCCTGCCGCGCGTCCCCTCCCCTCACCCACCCCATATGTACATACTTGTCCATGGACTAACTCAGTTTTTGCAGGAGTTTTTCTTCCACTTGCCCGAACTGGACACTAACAGACATTTCGGCTATGAACTGCTCACAGCCTTCCTTGGTAACTTGCTTGCAGTACCTCAGGTCAATATGACAGATATTCCCACACCGTTTGAAGAAGGACAGGCACTGGTCAGTGACCTTATTGCAGTCTGCAGGGAAGAGGACACACGGTGAGGTGGAGGAAGCGTGCAGCCGAGGGCCCTCCCCAACCCCCAGGCACTCAGCAACAGAGCAGCAACTGCCCTTGCTGGAAAGCTCTCTTCAAATGCAGAATGGTTTCATCTACCACTTACAGAAGTTTCATATATGCTTGAAAAGCATCCACACATTCCAAGTGAAACTGCTTAGACTCTTACCCCATGGCTGCCCCTTATATGTATATATTCTCACATCAGTACGTCCTGTCTATGTTGTTTTATAAAGATAGGATCACACAATACATGAAAATAGCTTGCTTTTCACTTCTACTCTACTGCTGAGAAACACCTCTCTGCAGGTTCTTGTGCGCGGTCTGCCTATTCCCAGGGGAGAAGTGCTGGGGGAGTGAGGACACCTGTAAGGTCATCCTGGGATCCTCCCACTCCCCTGGGCACCAGCCCTTTAGACAGAGGCCCCGTGTGCTTGCCCGCCCTCCGTGGGACGTTTGCCTCAAACCTATGCAGGAGACCAATGTGCTAGAAGGGGCCGGAAAGATTCTGTCCAGGGAGCAAAACCAGAATTCAGAACCCTCCACTGCGCCCTCACCGGTAGATGTGCTCTTCAACCGAGTAATTCTCTCAATTTGGACTTTGCTTCTGTAGCACTGTTTTCTTTTAGAACTGAATCCTCAGTCAACGGGCTGCAACGCCAGCTAGCATCCAACTGAGGCTGAGTCCGCACCCTGAGCCCAATGATTCCTTCATCTCAGTGGTATGTTAAGCTGGAGACCTTTCCTCATCATCACTAACATTGGCTGTGTGGGGATATTATGGATAGGCCCATGATGGGTTAAACAAAGTCTGTTTAAGAGTGAAAAATAGATGTCCGATGAAAGGACAATCTGGGTTAAGAATTACAAACCTCAAACAATGTGGCCTATACCTCACAACAAAATAAATTCTAGACAGATCAAAGAATTAAATTTTTTAAAATGATACGGAAAAGAAGTAAAAATATCTGCTTGCAGATGACATGACCTTAATGCGGTAACTCTAAGGAGTCCACACCCCCCCACACCCACCCCCACACACACCACACCCACACACACACCCCCCCCACACCACACCCACCCACACCCACCACCCACCCCCCCACACCACACCCCCCCACCACACCCCCCCACACACACCCCCCA